CTATAGTGAAATGATTTGGACTTAACATGATTTTTAGCATTGTTTGAGTGAGATCCTAACTCATTTGTCACATGACATATAGTGATAATATAGTTCTTATCACCAAAGTAAGGGACACTATATGTATAGTACTGCTACTATCTTTCGTACAGTTCTTCCTCTCAAACCTGAGCTTAGCTGTCTTGGTGCTGCTGGGTGATCCGTCATCTATTCTTTGCATGTTATTCAGAGTGATTTTTCTTAAATACTGCTCGAATGGTACTACTTTTCATAGTTTTCCCATAGCTTTCGGGTTAAATTCTAAACCCGTTTCATTTTGAAGCAGGTATCACTGATGGTCACCAGACTGAGCCATTGGGTCTTGACTTAGGCTTTATCTTCCAAAGTGTCCTTTCACAGCTTTTCATCCTTAATCTTTTTTTTTCTCTCTCATTTTGCTGTGTTTTCAAAATCTTCTGCCTGTCTTCTCATCACTTTGTATTGTGATGGTCCATTTACTTTCCTAGCTCCCTGACTGCTCATTGGTGACAGGGACTGTGTTATTTCTCCCTATTGCATGTGAGCGATCTAATGATCATCAGCACATGTATTTTGTTGGTTGCTCATTAAATATTAATCAAATGCACTGAATTGATTTAGTGGAAAAAGTATTAGGTTGGAAATTACGGGTTTGGGTTTTGGATAAGTCTATAACTTTGATCTTTGTTGTTTGAACCCTGATTTCCTCGTTTATAAATTATTCAGAGATGGTTTAAGTGCTCAAAGTGTGAATTCTAAGTTTTATATAAATTTAGATTGAAATAAAATGTATACTTTTAAATTATTTGAACATCGTTAAGAAGTCTATCTCAACATGTCTAGTTATCACTAAAACATGTAAACATTCAAGAGACAAAAACCAGGAAGGTCATTGGGTAATGTGGGAATTCGATTGGATGAGGGGCCACCAAATGTGGACTGTCCACAGTGGATGGTGGCTGGCAGCACAAGAGCAATGGGTGGGACAGCAGAGCAGAGACTGTCTGCTGTGGTGAGGGGCCACATTTATAGGGTGGAGTAAGGAAGTAGGAGACAAAGGGAATTTTCCCCATTTTTGGTAATCTTAGGAACTGTACTTGGCTGTAATTGGTCAGTTAAGGCTTGTGGTTATTTTGAGGTGGGTTGCTTGATGAGCCTTTTTGCATTCAGCTCATGGTCACTATGGGCCCTTTTGCCTTACTGTGGTTTCCATTGCTCAAGCCTGTTGCCTAAAAGCATCCTCTACAGGTAATAATATCCTTTTTCCTTTTTCTCCCTTCTAACTTCTTCAGGGAGATTATACTTGAAATGCTTTGGGGTGGTCTGAGTCCCAAGTATATATGCAAATATGGCTTCTAATGGTGATCAGCCTGTGCTGTGTGTCAGCTAGAGGGCTAGTTTAATGAAACAACAAAATATCAACTCCACTGAGTCTGACACAGAATTCCAAGTTCGAATTTAAAATTGTAGCACTTTGGGACTCTTGGGTGGTTCAGTGGTTGAGCGCTTGCCTTCGGCCCAGGGCATGATCCTGGGGTCCTGGGATCAAGTCCCACATCAGATTCCTTGGGTGGAGCCTGCTTCTCCCTCTGCCTGTGTCTCTGCCTCTCTATCTCTCATGAATAAAATCTTTTAAAAAATTGTAGCATTTATATTTAAATTTTAGGAGTTTTATTTTCAATATTGACAAGATAAAATGTTAGTATCTGATATATTTTATTTCTTGGAGGATTGTTTAATCTTCCTTGGCAAGAACTTTTTTTAACCTACCCAGAAATAATTACTGACAAAGATCGAAAGGATTATTCTTCTAGAGACTTAAAGGCAAATAACTTTGTCTTGCTCTTCATGGCCTCAGGTTAATAGATATGTAAAGGTTGAAACCTAAGTTGCCCTAGTGTTTCACCCTTCTTGGGTGCTTATGAGCTATTTCATAAATGACTTTTCCCAGTTCTAGTTATCAAGAGAATCAGGGCCTAGGGGCAATGAATCTAGACAGAAATGATCTCTTTGGTCAAGTTATTGTTTTGATATATTAATAAAAGCATTAAAGCTACTTGGGTCAGTGATCCATATGGTTGTGTTTGAGTCTTCAACCATAATGGGCTTTGTAGCCTCACTACACCTCTGCCCAGTTAAAAAGCTTTCTATTGTGAAATATATGGTTGTTCATGGTTAAATTTATTTAATCATTCTCTTTAATTAAAAATGAGAAATGTCCAGGAAATTTTATTTTTAAGTTAAACAGTTCAAAAATTCTGCTTTTGTATAAAAGTAGACATATATAGATGCTAAGTTGGGCAGTGAAGATAGGTTATTAGAATGGTTTGTTTTAAAGTTTCAAATTGTTGTGTCTCAACAAATTGAATACTTTTTATATTTTAATATGTTAAACCCTGCAATGTATGTTGTAATTGCATACTAGTAATATCTCAAAAGTCGATCTAAATTTAGTGTTTGTAGTTTATTAAATAGGTAATATATAATTCTGTAAAATGATTGCCATTTTGAAAGTCTGTTCCATGGACTCTTTTCTCAATATGTATAAAAAGGGAAAACTTTGGTGAAATGGTTGCCACATTATTCTACCTCTCCAAAAGATTAGATACATTCTTGGAAAGACTTATTGACTTCTATTAGAGTTCTGTCAGAAGAGTTGCATAATAATGTGTTTAGCACAGTGTGTAGGTGAGGTTTTGAGAAAATATTTCCAACTTTGTTTAAAAAGGTGGAAGTGGCATAATAAAGGAATAGTGTGAGATTACAGTTTTGCTTTGACCATTGTTTAGTCAGACATTAACCACTACATTGAGATTGGTGTTTGCCTTTCTTGGGGTTGTTCTCATTCATTCCTCCTTTGCCTCCATACTCGATAAGCCTCTGAATTTTGCAATAAGATCTTCAGAATGCTTTTCTCTCCTGAGTACCAAGGATATCACTGTAATTTAAAGCTTCCTTATTTCTGGTCTGAGTCATTGCAGACACCTAATTGATATTCCTAATTTTAATCAATCCAGTTTGCTGATTTTTGTTTTTTGCCTTCACGTGGTTTACATCTTTAGTATTGTCTATCAGTGATATCCTGCTTAGTGATTTGGAATAAGAGGAGAGAGTTAAGCAAAATATCTTCCCCACTTCATCACATTTATTAGATATGACTAAGATACGACTTCTGCTATTTAGGAGCTTACACTCTAATAAATTGGTATATATGTTTGTGAAAGATTGTACTAGATGACCTTGAAGATTCTGTGACACTATCACTTACTGCTTTAAAGACTAGTTTGAGATTCACTTTGTCCACAAAACTTTCCCTGCCTAAAAACTTATCTTCTGCTTTTAAGTCTATAATCTCAAATAGACCAACCTTCTGACATACTTGCTAATATATTTCTTGGCCTTGTTCTGCCTGAAAGAGTTCTTTGTAATGGCATTCATTGTATGGAGATTGCAGAACTTCTATCACAAACCACACAGAAAATAGGATAGTAAATTCAAGTGATAGGAAATGTGAAAGTAGAAAGGTAAAAATGTAACCTCTTTGATGTTAGGTGAATATAAAAGTGGTCTGAACCTTAACCCAATTGGTAGAATTTAAGGCACTAAAATATCCACAGTAAAACCAGAGTTGAGGCAGGTTTCAAAAGCATTTTAAAAGCAGTCCTGTTTAAGAGCCATTTTTACTTCCTTTTTTTGGAGATCTGTCATATTTTTTCCTCTTTTTTTAATTAGGCATTTGGTCTTTTAGTACAGTAGTTACCCCCTCACCGCCCTCCCCTTCCCTGGCATCTGTGGTTTCACTTTCCATGGTTTCAGTTACCCATGGTCAACCATGGTCTGGGAGCAGATGATTCTCCTTCTGATATATTATCAGAAGGTCAGTAGTAACCCCATAGTATGTCACAATGCCTTTGACATTCACCTCACTTCATCCAATCGCATAGGCATTTTGTCATTCCACATCATCACAACGATGTTTGTAATATAGTAAGATATCTTGTGGGAGAGAGACACTACATTCATGTAACATTTCTAATTCTATTTTGTTGTTGACAACTGTTCATCTCTAACTGAACCAGAGTTATAAATTAAATTTTATTGTAGGTATGTATGTACAGGAAAAACATTGTATATATAAGATTTGATACTGTCCAAGGTTTCAGACCTTCACAGGGGGTCTTGGAACGTAGCTCCCACAGCATAGGGGATGGGTGGGAGGGCGAAGGGGGACTACTGTAGTTGATTTATAAGAACTCTATTTGTAATATAAGGAAATTATCCCTTTGTGATGTGAGTTACAAATACCCTTTCCCAATTAGTCATTTGACATTATTTATATTGTCCTCTATTACAGAAATTTGATTTTTTTTAAATTAAGTTTATTTTTTAGGGTAGTTTTAGATTCACAGCAAAATTAATAGGAAGTACAGAGCATTCCTGTATACCCTTTTCTTGTACATGTTCAATCCCCCGTCCTCCCCCTATTATCACCAGTTCACTCTACAGTAGTACATTTGTTGCAGAGATGAACAATCAGTTGAACAGTTTGTTACAAAGAAATTTAATTTTTTCAACTTATTTTTTGGTCTTTTATCAAGTAGACTTGGTATTTTTTGTAAAGCTTCTCTGTTTTTAAAATTTAGAAAGTTTATAGAAGTAATATTTTTAAAAGGCTAACTTAATAGAATAACAGTGATAATAACAACAAATACTACTAATACATATTGAGCTTACTCTGTATCAGGTGTAATTCCTAACTATGTTATTAGGTTGAATTAGTAGCTTTATTTTATAGGAGATATAATAGAAATACAAAATGTTTAAATAACTTGTGCAAAGTCATGGAACTAGTTGATGGCTGATTCTGTCCTAGGCAGTTTGGGTCTAGAATCCATGCTTGTAAGCCTGTACGCTATACTGCTTCTTTTTAATCACACTTTACATTTTTTCTGTTTTGTTTTGTTTTGTTTTTGGTATATTAGGTTTGAGGTAGGAATTCAACTTATTTTTGGACTGCTTGGATAGAGGGAGGAGCTAGCAAAGAGAAGTATGAAGAATTGATCATCATGGTGTGAGTAAAGTAAGGCATGTGGTAGAGCTTGTGGGATACTGCTGTGATTTAAGATAAGGAAAGATAATTTGGCAAGATGAAATGATCTTGGTGGTAGATGTTTCCGTGGAATGGGCTGAAGCAGAAGTCAGATGGGTACAGTGTGAGAGTATAAGAACATAGAAATAGTGAAAAAGTTGCTATGAATATGAAGGAGGAGGGCTGTAGAATGAGGGAAAATTGTTATATTTCAGAAGGATGAGAGACCTTTACAGATGCTACAATGCTGGTAGGAAGGATTCAGATACAGAAGACATTAAAGAAGATATAGTAAATAAGGTAGTAGTTGAGGCTTTTAAAAAACAAAGAAGAGGTTGGGCTCTGAAGCACAGATGCGGTGATTTGTATAGAAGATGCTTCGTTATTTCTAGATGATATTAGGAAAAGATGGGTGCAGATAGACATGATTGCAAGCTTGTTGGTAGCAAGTGAGAGTTCCCATTTGATGGTGGTTCTTTTCTTTTTTTGAAGATTTTATTTTTATTTATTTGAGAGAGTGAGAGAGCCAGAAAAAGCACAAGCAAGGGGAGGGACAGAGGGCGAGGGAGAAGCAGGCTCCTGGCTAAGCAGGGAGCCTGACATGGGGCTTGATATGGGGCTTGATCCCAGGACTGTGGAATCATGACCTGAGCCAAAGATAGATGCTTAACTGACTGAGCCACCCAGGCGTGCCCTTTTATTTTTTTTAAAGATTGATTTATTTATTTTGGGGGGGAGGGGCAGAGGGAGAGAGAATTTCAGGCCAACTCCCTGCAGAGCAGGGAGCCTGATGTGGGGCTCTGTCTCACAACCCTGAAATCATGACCTGGACTGAAATCAAGAGTCAGGCACTTAACCAACTGAGTCACCTGGGCGCCCTAATGGTGTTTATTTTCTTTATGAAGTAGAAGATGTCCTCTACTGAGTGGAAAGTTAGAAGTTTGAGGGAGGTTGGAGGTGTGAGGAGATGGAAGAAGGTTTTGAATTAGTTATCATAGAGAACAGGGAAGGATTAATGAGAGTAAAATAACGTTTTTGGTCATTATTGAAGGCCTGTCCACTGGAAGTTGGTGATGACATCATGAATTAATTTTTTTTTCTAGTGACTTTCAGGCCAGTTCTGTTATCACAGTTTTAATATAGTTAATGCTCTTTAATCATTCACTTAATCATTTAATTATCAGTACCACCTTAGAAGTAAAAGCTAGGGCATACTCCTTTAAAGCTTGCCAAACTAGTATTTTAAGTGTATTGAATAGAGTAGTAAGTTTGGAGAAGGATGAAGAAATTGCTACTTTTCACTTCATTTTGATATCCTTAAATAATGGAGAAAGTTTCTTGGGAATTGATTTTAAATGTGCATGCTAACTCATTTAACTTTTATTAACATGGCTGTTACCCTTGGGTAATTTGTAGAGGATTATGAGATGAGATTAAATGTTTTAAGCTTAAACATGTGGTCTTGAATGCTTAAATGCCAGAATAATATGTATTTTAATAGTAAACTCATCTTTTTTAAGGTATAATTTTCAGAATGCATAGAAAATTTTCCACAGTGTCCTCAAATCTATATTCATTCATTGTTAAACTTGTTTGTTTGTTTTATACAGGGTGTGATAGGTATACAGCTGGTTGTTACCATGGTGATGGCCAGTGTCATGCAGAAGATTATACCTCACTATTCTCTTGCTCGATGGCTACTCTGTAATGGCAGGTAAGGCAAAGATAGGCTAATTGTGTCTGGCACTTACAAACCTCTATTTAGTTCAAATCTCTAGTTAATTGACTTCCCAGAAGTTAAGCATGAATTTCTGTTTTCTAAAAACATAACAAAAGAAGGTTATAAGAAAAATCTAGTTTCCTTATTTTTCTTACTTGAGATATTAGTAGTTTATTTTTTTAGTATAAAGGTAATTGGATCATGGTCAAGAATTCGGTCCTCCCCCTTTCCTGTCACCTTTTATCCATGGCCAATGAAAATACCAAATAACTTTACTATAGTTACCTTCTTAAAAGATTGTTTAACAAGGGGATGAGATTTTTTCTATTGTTGGAAAAAATGACTGAGAGTATATGTCTCATTATTGGTGACTCAGTTGAGAGTTTATTATGAGAATTAGGGGTTCTTTGTTTTCCTGCAAAGAATTTTAAACTTCAACTTGAGAAGGAGGGGGCAAAGTTATTTTGTAAGATTTTAATTTTGTCTACTGCACTGTAAGCTTACAACTATTCCCAGTCCTTCCACAAAGGAGCTAGGTTTTCTTGTTGATATTTGTACAATAAAATAATAAAATTGAAGGTAAAGAAGTTGAATATAGGGTATATGAGACAAATGCAGGAAGATTGCATAAAAAATAAATGCCAAAATCCTGTGCAATTATGAAAGGTAAGTTATAGATTTGGTATCATGACTAAAGTTTTACTCTAATTGTTCATCTCCAGTGAATAACCAAATTCTGTTTACTGATTTGTAGGTCCATTTTCTTTTGTTTAAAACTTTTGGAGTCAGAAAACAATGGATAGCTCTTATCCTCCTAATGATTTCATACACTGAAAGACAAATAATAAGTCTTTATTATTAGTTGAAGGCTATTCTATCCATAAAGCTTAAATTTCCTTTAGAATTTATTTTCTAGTTAAATATTCTTCTCTATGCTTCATGCTTTTTTCATATCATTTAAATATAGAAAAATATTATGACTGCTTAAAATTTGATCACTGATATACAACACATAGACACATATATGGAATATGTGAGAGAACAGCTATTTAAAAACATGTTTTATTAGCAAAGTAAATAATGACTATAAAGTTTTAGTGAAGTTGAAAACCTCTATCAGTTATTTTTAAGAAAAATCAGTCATTTGCAACTAGTGTTTAACTGTATAGTCTTATGCCCTATATAGTCTTGTTTACTTTTTTGCTTATCAAAACCCTTTTCCATAGATCATGAAAGGATAAAAACCAGCTGGGCAAATTATCATACATTCTAAAAAAATGGAATCTGAAATTAATGAACTAGATTAAAAAATATGTTGAGGTAGCTTGTTTTCTACCGAGAATTCCATATTTATAGACTCTTAATGGTGAGTCTCCAGTGAGACTTTCAGATCTCTTTTAGGCTCTAAAGATCTTGGCAGTCTTGTTTCATTTTAGGTTACAAGCAATTTCCATGTTCTTACATAATATGCTTTCTATTGTTTCTATCAAACTTACATTCACCAGTAAAAACTAAAACTTCAGGGATTGAAAGCCTAATTCTTTCCTCTTTGTTAATATTGGAATTATGTATTATAATTAATCTTTACTTTTTTGACAAGACTGTTTCATAAATATACTACTAATTTGAGGGGGGAGTTCAGCCTTTAAAAGTAAACATGAAGTTGATAATATTTTGTGATCCTGATTGCTTTTGTAAACAGATAAACTTTAGTGTTAATTAATGCTGCCTCTAATTCCAAATCAGATTCCAAGGATAGCAATCTGAATTTTCTAGTAATAGTTACTTTTCTGCTATAAATCATTTAATTTCCTCTGTTATATTTTGTTTTGTGTTTTTAAATTCATCAATTTCCTTTCTGTTATATTTTGTTTTGTGTCTTTCTTTAATGTTAATCCTGAAGTTTTTAGGTCATGAAGTCAGTGCTTAATTTTGTTGCCCAACAGTTGAATAGGATCGTTGATTTTATTCTCTTGGGATAATTATTATTTTATCATCCTTTTATGATATGAAATTATGATATGAAGTTAACTATTCTGATATTGATAAAATGTAAGATGTCTTCTAAATTGCTCACGTAAAAATATTGATCAGAAATGACGTTTATATTTTAAACCATATGATGCTTTTTAGTTTAAAAAAGAGAAAGATCTGAGGGGCATTCTTTATCATCTGTAAAATGTTTAAAGGAATTTAAGAGGAGAGGCTCATGGTTTGGGAGTGACTACTGAATAGAACAATTCAAGTGAATATATGTGTAGATACCATGATAGATTAGAAGAGAGACTTGTTTTTAGGTTCTGCATCTATCGTTCTAATATTTGTTCCCCTAATATCATATCTTCATATTGTAAATAAATATCCATACTTTTCTTAAAAGTTATGGCTTGTCTTTTTGTATCATATAAATTAATTTATGTCCATATTTCTCATCAGTCTGTGTCTTTTGGAATGGAAGGTTTAAAGTGCCATCAGATTTTATTATGTTTATTATAATAAGTAAGCCTGCCATTTACTTAAGTCATACCTTGAAGGAATAAACAGTTTTGCTTTTAAATTAGCAGCCGTTTTATTTTTTTACTTTTTATTTTTAAAAAAAGATTTTATTTATTTATTCATGAGACACCCAGAGACGCAGAGAGGTAGGCAGAGGGAGAAGCAGGATGCATACAGGGAGCCTGATGTGAGACTCGATCCCAGGACCCAAGGATCACGTCCTGGGTCGAAGGCAGGCACTTAACCGCTGAGCCACCCAGGCGTCCCAGCAGCCTTTTTAATATAAAAAAAATTAACTAGTTTTCTAGATCTTGTTAAACAACATGTATTGCTGTTAGTGTTGTAGATCTCTAGTTTAACAGAAAAACCCACTAAAGTCGTTAGCCTGGTCGTTTTTTTTTTTTTTTTAAAGATTTATTTATTTATTTATTTATTTATTTATTTATTTATTTATTTATTTATTTATTTTATGATACACACACACAGAGAGAGAGAGAGAGAGAGAGAGAGAGAGGCAGAGACACAGGCAGAGAGAGAAGCAGGCTCCATGCCGGGAGCCCGATGCGGGACTCGATCCCCAGACTCCACAACCGTGCCCTGGACCAAAGGCAGGCACCAAACCGCTGAGCCACCCAGGGATCCCCAGTTAGCCTGGTTTAATTCCATTAATATCGCCTTTACAATGTTATAAAACTTAATCCTGATAAAAAATTTTATTTCTGTTATCCCATTTGGATGTGTATACATTATGAACTAGGTAGAGAAAAGGTGTGTTTGGGGTATGTCATGGCCCCAGAAATCTCAGTGTCTAAACTTAGTTTCTTAATCCATTACCTCAGGAAGGAATCAGGGTCTGATGGGAGAATCAGGAAGGGATTGGGCAGGTCTCCAGGTAGATTCTTCACAAAATGATATTTTAAGGATTAAGCTGACTTTCAAGTGGTAACTTAGGGAGTCTATGCTTCTTCTGATTTGTTGGGTGTCTTGTTCCTCCTCCTACCTTGGAATCTTCTGTTACAGATGCTGAGCCATTTGGCAACTGAAGGAAGTAGGCTATGTATCTTTTAGGTGATTCAAGGTTGCCAGGCTTAGAAATAGTTGTATCAGCTCTGTCCACATTCCTTAGGTTGGGGCCCTGTGAGTTCAGACCAAAGTGCATGGGAACCTGGGAATGTGTTGTGTTTCATTGTACCAAGGAAGTAAAAGCAAGATTGATTGAGTATCAGGTCCTTTTCTGCTGTAGGTGATGTGTTTACACGTGAGAAAACAGGTTTTAACTTTACTCATATTCACAGGCTGAAAAATGAAACCGATCTAGGCTTTTTATCCTAGAGTTTAGTTCAGAGCATAGTATTTATTTTATGTATGGCTGCTTATCAACTACAGACGTTGTCCTGGAATTGACACACTTGAACAGAGTTTGGAATTTGATGGTGGTGAGCTTTTCTATGATTACTATGGCTTCTGTTGGCAGTATACAGAATAATCTATTTTAGATTTTTTTCTACTTATTTTATGCTAGTGGTACTTAGCCTCATATAAACTATCTTTCAGGTTATATATTGTTAGTGTGTGATTTCTTTTCACTTACTGTATTCTTCTGGCTTTTCTATGACTACATGGCCATCTTTTATTCTGAATTAAAAGACAACCTCAGCATTGATTTTGATTACCACAAACATGCTAAGTGTGAAGTAGAGTTTAAGAAGTATCATCTATTGTTCAAATTATACCTCGCATGTCACTATTTGAAATTAAATTTATTCCACATTATTAAATTATAAATATTTTGTATTCCGTTCTTGCAGTTTTCTTTACTAGAAAAGATTTTTTTCTTCTCTAATGTTCACTTTTTTTACATGACTTTTTATGTAACTATCAGATTTTTTGGAAAGGATTCTGCTTTAACAAGAACTTAAGTAACAAAATCTCTTCTGCCTGTAACCTGTGAGCATGTATTATTAACCTTGAAAACTCAACTATGAAGAGTCTAGTGCTCTCAGACTGCTCAGTTCTTCCCTCTCTCCCCAAAAGGAGGAAAAATCATGGGAAGTTGGTTTCTCTGTGCCTTTAATATGAACTGCTTTCCGTAACATAAAGAACATTTTTAACAGTTACTTAGATCATCCAGAGGTGTTCTTTATCATGTCCAATATACTACTGTATTGTAGCCAAAGTATTCTCTACTTTTTATTGTAATTAAAGTTCCTTTTTGTTTTGAAGTTTGCTTGGCCTCTCTTTACATGGAGGTAAGTGATAGGTTACATTCTTTGTACATTTGAATAGTGGGTTTTGCATGAGGAAGTAGGCTTTTGCTTTATTTTTGTAATAGCTTCCTTGCTGATCCGCTTCCCATTTCCTTTATTGTTTAGCTCAAACCTAACACATTTTTTTCTACCCCTTTATCTCCTAAGGCTTTCACTTTGGTCTGCTACTTCATATCATATGTCCCTCATTGAAAACATGTTACGGTTGGATTTATTCTGATTTTGTCTCAT